GAAAGCACCCTGTTGCATGTGAAGCAATGGCTGACTCCATTCTTGAAATACTTTTTTTTTGAAAGCTATTAGAGTGGCGAGCTTCTCTTGAACTCTGAAAAGAAAACTAAACTAAGACACCACATGGAAGCTTCCTCTGCTTACAATGTTTGTCCTACAAAGCATTTTGGGTTTACTTCAAGGGATGGAGGACAGGACCGTAGATTCTGCATTCAGTGCACTGGTTAATGAAGTTGCAATAATCATATTCTCCATAGAGTTTTGGCTGCCACTACAGCCACCTTCTTTCCTTCAAAATATGCTTTTCATTGTTCTCCTGCCCTTTTTCCAACTGCTCCACAGCCAAGTTCTTGGAAAGCAACCACGCTTCATGTTTAGGATTTATTGCTAGTCTTCTGCCAGTACGGACACACACAAATCTCTCCTGTGATCATCCTGCAAAAGCAAGCTAAAAATACAGCAATTTATGAACATTTTGCATGTTATATGGCATCAGTGTGCACACATCAAAAACTTCTGAGCATATAAAAGGTCACCCCTTTTGTCTAGGCCAATAGGAGGCTCTGCTTGGGTGCCATAAATAAGCTTATTTTAGAATTCCAGCCTACCTAAAAAGGGAAAAAAGCATTTGCATTGTGTTTCAGTGGTTGAAGATTTTTTTTTCCTTTTACGTGGTAAACTTTGCGCTTTAGAAACTCTAGGTTTGACAAAAAACACAGTTCATCTTCCAAAGTGGCTGCTTTAAAACTAATGACTAAATTAGACATCAGAGTTATCATCAGAACTTCAAAGCAGTGAGAATTTATCTGTTTGTACAAAATTTTTAAGGACTGTGCAATTTCAGAGTCAAGCTGTATTTCTATTTTGAAATGCATTTTGGGTTGCCTGAGGAATCTCATGCCCACAGAAGCAGCAGGAAACATCAGGGAATGCTGATCTTATGGCTAGGAAGAATAGATCATGAGGAAAAGTATTCAGGTCATCGCCATGCCTTGGTCATGGCTTTTCAGACCATATTGTCTATTTTTATTACAAACACTGTAGTTTAATTATCAGCCTCTTTGAAAGACTTGTCTTTTATCAGCCTATTGCTTTTGACAGGCAAGGGCAGATTCTAGACTCCGTGGATACAATTGAAATTCTGGATTAGGATTGTTGAACTTTCTCTGAGACCTTGGGAGACTCAGTTCTTGGTCTCTCCTGGCTCCTTGTTTCTGATGATGCCCTCTCAAACAAGCACACATTTGGCAGGTGACCTGGGCCTCCCTGCCCAGCCTGGCTGCTGGCAGCTGCTGGATCTCCAGTGCTCACAGCTGGGTGGTTCTGTGCCTCAACCACCAGGCTGAGACTCAGGAACAGGAAGGCTGATGAAAAGAAAGGCCAGTGAAATGGCTTTAGACTGCCAGAGGACAGGGTTGGATGGGACATTGGGAAGGAATTGCTCCCTGTGAGGGTGGTGAGGCCTTGGCAGAAGAGTGCCCAGAGAAGCTGTGGATCCCAATCCCTGGCAGCGCCCAAGGCCAGGCTGGACAGGGCTTGGAGCAGCCTGGGACAGTGGAAGGTGTCCCTGACCATGGCAGGGGGTGGCACTGGACAATCTTTAAGGTTCCTTCCAACCCAACCATTGTATGATGCCATGAAGATCTAGATAAATGTTTTACCACCTCATAATCTGGGGTTCTTACTCAACCCAAAATGACTGCAATTGTTATTGTTTTGATTTTCTTTTTATGACTCTCATCTTTCTTGCTTTCCCTTCTTAGGTTATTCTTCTCCCCAGGCAATACTAGACAGTTCCCAAATACCTATTTGGTTCCTATAATTAAACCAGATGTATTTTCTGCTCAGTCTGGAAAGGGATTAGCGATTTGTGAAATGGGACTTTGCATTCAAGAAATGAGAAATTACAGTTGAGGAAACAGCATAAATTTACTCCTAATAAATAATGAATGGACTTTCAAATGCAGTAAATCTCCATTCTTACATGTCCAAACTGACAGACTTCTGAGTATAACAAGTAACTCATGTGTAATTTTGTGTCAAAACCTTCATATTCTGCAAAATTATTAAAATTTCCTGAAATTTATTCTCTGCTCAAAATTATTCACTGAAATGCATTTTTGTATGTGAACCACATTTACTCTTTTTGTTGCTCTAATAAGATTACTCATGTATCACATGGCATCAGTTAATTCTGGGTGTGCTTCTCATTGTGATGATCAGGATTTAAGTGCAAGTATTTGTGTAGCAGTTATAGAATTTGCCCCCTGGTATTTCAGCTAAAAAGCTTGCTTTACATCAGGGGTGAAGGAATTTAGACAAGAGACTACAGAGGGAAAAAAAAAAAAAAAAAAAAAAAAAAAAAAAAAAAAAAAAAAGCTACCAAGGCCAGAGCAAAAGAGTTGCAAAATTTAAACCAATATTTGCTATAAAACATTTGTGGTGGCCACTCAGCCCTACTTCTGACTCCCTCAAACATCGTCACTGCTGGATTTCACACTGCAGCTCTACCTAAACCCCTCCTGGACATTCCCTTTGCTGTTGAGAGTAGGTTTTGCTCCCCTTGCAATTCTGACAAAACTTCTGCCTTTACTAACATTTGTAGAGTGGTTCCATCATTTTTCTTCTCCTAACATTAAGGACCACATTGCAGGCACCAAGCAGCATGTGATTGAGCCAATACAGCTTTTGATTTTGACTTCACAAGTGGAAACACACAGGCATGTACTTGGCTTTGGCTACACGTTCACCCAGCTAAATCTGTTGATGGAGTCTGCAGAACCTGGAACAAACTTATTTTTAGATACCATAATCTTCAATATATTAACTTGCTTTTACTCTTGGTCTTACATATGTTGTCTGTCTTCTTCCTCTGCATTGAAGCCACCGACATGACTTGCTGCAAATTTTAAAACAACTTTACTCACAGCAGCCTGTAACAATAACTAAAGTGTGGCAACTATCTCATACAGCAATAATACTTGTGGCTCTGTTGTCAGGTACATCATTTGTTCTTCCCTGAAAAAAATTTCATATTCCCTCCAAAAAAAAAAAAAAAAAAAAAGCTTTAAAATAAATTAGCACCAGGCCTCCAAAAATGTTGTTGGAGGTTCATATGTGGTTTAAAGAACACTTGGAATGTAGGTTGGAGGAAATCTTGATAAATTTCTGCCATTTGGATTATAGCTAACAGCTTCTTTAATGAAACTAACACAATAAAGCAACATGACTGTAACTATCTTCCCAAGAATGGTAGAAAAGGACATAAAACTGAGCGGCACATTTAAAATTACTTGCAAAATATCAGCTCTCTGTAAACAACACACAATAACTGTAATTAATACCAGTCCTTTAAAGTATTCCTAAAGTCTACTGAAATCCAAACCAGCATTGTATGACTGGTAGCAACAACTGCATCCTAAACAACATTAAAAATTACAACAGAAAATAAAATATCTCCATCAGAAGTCAAAAAGTTATAATTCACAGATCAGTGAATTATACAAATAATAAGGGCAAAGAACACCTTTGCCCTTATTATTTGTAGAGCTTTTTTGGGAGGATCTCAGGACTTTACTCTTTAGCTAAGCCTCAAAAGTTCAACAGCCTGTGAGTTATATAAACACTATTTTACAATTTGAGTTATTTTCCCAGCAAAAGGATCGCTCCGGGGGCGGACTATTTGAATGATCTCTCTTACAAAATGAACGCTGCTTTTCTCGTAGTTCCACAGCTTCAGAGTGGCCGGAGCTGAAGCCCACCCAAGCGGTGCCCAGCCCCGCTCGCAGGCAGCTCCAGCGCTCCGGCGGACAGTGCAGAACAGGCTGCAGGTTGCACCGCACCTAAAAACGCCTGGTCCAGCAAGTGCTTTCAGGGAAGAAACTGACCAAGGGCTTGGAAAAATGCCTTATTTTAAGCAGCAAGCAAGTAAATAAACACAAACATAAAAATGGGTTGGAGCAGACAGAAGGCAATCGCGTCTTGGCAGCGATGCCGCAGCCGTAGGACGTGTTGCTTGTGCGCGGCGCTCCCGCTCCAGCCGGAGGGATGCTCCCGGGCGGACGGGGCTCCGCGGGGAGCCCCGAGCCCCGGCCCCGCCGTGCCCAGCGCCCGGCTCCGCGCCCCGCAGCCGCGGGAGGATTTCCGCCCGCGCGGGGAGAGGAAACCGCGTCCGCTGCCGACGGGGAGAAGGAAAACCCCGGGAGCCCGATCCACCGGTGGTTGTCGGGGTTCGGCTCTGCGAGCCCCCGGGGTCGGGACGGGGATGCTGCCGGGAGCCCCGCCGCAGCCGGCAGCCCAGCGTCTGTGCAGGGCGCCCCGCGCCGAGCAGCGGCGGCTCCGCGCCGGCGGCTCCGGCATCGCCCGGAGCATCCCCGCTGCTCCGCGGGGGACAGCCCCCGCGCGGAGACCCCCGCGCCACCCGCGGGCGGGGACCGAGCCCCCAGCCCCTCCGTCCGGCTCCGGCTGGGGACAAACACGCTCTCAACAATGGGCATGTTTGCAGCAACATGATCTCACCTAATAACGCCGAATAAGGCAATGACTGTACGGGGAAGCGATACGATCCTGCCGGTCTCACCACACGGCGCGGAAAGCTATTTGCAGATTTGCTAAGCCCTTTTGAATGAATGCATCTGCAGCTGACCTTTAACAATAGACGCTGAAATAGCACAATCTGTGGGACCAGATTTGAGGGGGGGAGGCGGGAAGGGGGAAGGAAGAGATGGGTGAATATTGTAATCTCTGCAATCTCATTCACTTCCTTTCCCAAACCCCCGCGCACAGGGAAAAACAGCGGTATTTTCCTTTTCACCGGGGCTCTGTCTCAAACAAGCCGTTTCCAACGCCGGCACAGCCACATGGCACCCCGACAGCCGCCGCCGGCGGGACCGGCGCGCATCCCCACCGGTGCCCGCCCGCATCCCGCGGGCATCGCTCCGCGGAGGGGCAACTGCGACAAGGATGCTCCAGCCCCCTCTCCCCTCCCGCCGCTCTCTCACCTTCCCTGGCTTTCAGCAAAACGGTGTTGGCAACGATGTTTTCCAGCTCCATTGACGAGCTCGGGCAGCGCAGGCAGCGGCACTGCAGCAGGACGTCACTCCGAGGTGCGGAGTCTCCGGGCGACCACCCGCCTCCTGCCCCTAGCGCGCTGTCCCCCCGCGCATCATCCCCGCCTGCCCGCCCGCTCCCCCGCGCTCCCCGGGCGGAGGCGGCGCTCCCCGCACTGCCTGCTCCGCCGCGCCCCGCTACTCCATCCTCCGCCCCGCCGGCTCCCCCGGTGGTTTGAGGGCTCGGGCGCTCCTGCCTCCCTCCCCGGGGGTGTGGCACCGCGGAGCGGCCCCGCAGCCCCGCGCAGGCGCCGGCCCCGCCGGGCCGGGCACGCCGGGACGTGTAGTCCTGGGGCGGCCCCGCCGCACCTGGCGCCGGCTCCGCAGCCGCGCAGGGTCCCCAGGGAGGGACGGCCACTGTCCGCCTCGGGGAGGGGGAGAGCACGGACAGGGGCACGGATAGGGGCCGGCCAGAGCGTTCCGGGCGGTGGGGGTGGGTGTTCGCCGCCGGGGATGCTCGGGGCTCCCGCGGTGCTGGCCCCGGCGTAGCGCTGGTGCCGCGCTCCATCCCGCGGCGGCGGCCCGGGGCTCCGCTTGTCCTGCCCGCGGTCCCCAGGGCTCCCCGGCCCGGCTCTTTGTAAGTGTCACCCCCCCGCAGATGCCCACACTCGTGGGAAGGGGTCGCCGACAGCCGGCAGATGTCTTCCGCCCCCCGCCCTTCTCCTCGGGCCGGGGCTTCTCGCCTTTCTCGGGATCTCAAAAGCCCCTACAGAAGAACCCGAGGGAACCCCAGCTCTATCCGCCACACCATTGTTTTCACCCTTGTAAGGAGCTGTGTGAAGCATCAGCCACTTGTGGAAAGTTTGTGGATTTTAAGTGCTAGATTGCAACATAAACTCTCCCCTGTCTACATAGGACAGATGCTCATGTCAGCATGATTCTGATTTTCCTAGCAACGGGGTAGATCGATTCATCAGGTCAAGCAATGAAAGAGGAATAAAAATGACCCATTACTCCCACTGACACTCTTCCTCCATCTATATTTGCATTGATTAAATCCACATGAAGCAAATCAAATTAACATGCACCTTCTTGTAAGTGGAGCACAGACACTACTCTTTTCTTCTTTTTTTATTGTACCAATTTATTTCTTTCCACAGCCACACAGAAATGGCCTGCAATGGCAGAGCTTGCAGACTGCCTAGAACACATTTTCTGAACATAGGAAATAGATGAGAAATGCATTTAATGAATAATACCTTGTGGGTAAAATTGCTACAATAAATGCCTTTTGTACCTGATTAAGTGTCAAAGGTTTGACCTTTGAAAGTTATTTTGCATAGCAGGTGGCACTGCCATGTACGATCTTCCACAGCCTTTCTCCTGTAGCTTCAGAAAAACATTCAGCTTTCAGAGCCATTCCATGTTGAGGTTCCTTTCTTTGTAATACAAGTTCTATACAGCAGCAGTTGTGTCAGTAAGTACCGGAAGATTTTTCTCTGATTAAATAATTCTTGAGGGAGAAATTGCTTCCTGGAAACCAGAGCCTTAGCACAGAGATGAGGCTCCTAAGGAGCATCTGCCCTGCTTGTTTGAACTCTTCTGTGCAAGCACTGATGTAAACAGACCAGATTATGCTCAGTTCTAAGTGCACTTCACATCCCTGCCCAGCCTCCCACTAATGATCATCATAAGGACAATGCAAACATCACAACCAGGCTGATGGTCGGTGGAAGACAGAATTTTTATTATACAGAATGTTTTTAATGCTACAAGCAACTCCTCTCTCCAGAGTGGGATATTGCTGTTTCTGCTGCGCCTCAGGATGAGACTGATCAGTGGGATTTACCTTCATGGGAGACTCCACAGCAAGCACTGACTGTGTTTGGTGAGCTATTTTTATAGAGGTGCCTGAATGAAGAGGGCAGATCTTGAAGAGCTCAAGTATGAGTTTCACTAGAAATCAGCATGTGCACCCAACAGCTCTACAGCTCCTCTTATCTCATATCTGTATGTACCTCGAGATATGTGGAGTCACCCACAGTGTTGCCCTGTGGGACAAAAGTATGACTCCAGCACGCTGATGTTGCCCTGTATAGTTTCAAATATATAATTCTTGAAAGGGCAAACCTATTATCAAAAGAGTAACAACAGATCTGTCTGGAGTTTGGAAATCCCACGGAGCTACCTAGTGTTCATGAGCGGCGCAGCTCCCGCAGGCTCCACGATCCTGGCAACCGCAGGCACGCTCCTGCAGGAGCAGGGACAGCCAGGCAGCAGCGTGTGTGCTGGGACACAGGGGTTATTCCAGCTCGGCTGCATGGCTGTGCGTTGAAGTGGACCAGAGGCAGCCACATAAATGTGGCTGAGTGCAGGGAGTGGGGATAGCTGAGCTCTGCTACCGGGCTGCTGAGCGTCTGCAGTAATGTGTGTGTCTGACTTACATATCTACACAGAGAGCAGCGATTCTGACTCCATGCCTCTTGGGAAGACCAATGGAGGGTGGTGTTTTTCAATATTCTTATGTTAACTAACAAGCCCCCCCTTGTTTCTAATAAATCTGACTCACTGTGGTGCACTAGGACATGGAAGGAGGGGTGCTCACTAGCACTACTTTGAAAAACATGACCAAGGTGATTAGTCCTCACTGCATCTTTCTTTTCTACTGCATTTTTAAAGCCTGATTAAACCCCTAGTATACAACACAGGCCTGAGATGGATGGCCCCTTTCATGGACGTGGCCCCCATGTGTTTCCACTGCACAGAAAGTCCATCAGTTGGCTTTTGCAAAACCCACTGCAGCATTTGGACTCTTACCTCATGACTGCTTCACTGCTGGCAGTATCTTCATTCTCCTGTCACCTGGAACAACTGGTTCACAAAACCAACAAAAAAAATTAGGAAGAGGTAGATTTATTTATATCCATTTCCTCTTGTGGTGACACAGTCCTTTAATTTCAAGCTATGTGTGCACCTGATTTAATGAAACAGTCTGTGAGTGAGGGAGAAGGAAACCTGTAAATCTGTTCCACTGCTTCTCTGACTCTATTCACTCTTGTAAAATGGTGCTGAAATATGTGAATTCAAAGACAGGGCGGCAGGGAAGAAATGCAGGAAAGGAATACAGGTCTCTTTTGCTGGCCTAAATATCTTGATTCAACACTTGAAGAAGAAAAAGGAAAATTTAGTCTGAATCATACGCAGAAGCAACCAGTATTGGAAGGAAAAAAAGAAAAAAGGAGAGGCTACAGAAAAAAAAAATCATATTCTGAAAAATGTGCTTTCTAAGGTGCTTTAAAAATGTGCTTTAAAATTTCCATCTGAAGTCATTCAGGAGAGGCTCCTAAAAACCTAAAAGTGCTGAACATCAGGGTAAAGCAGGGCTGGCAGCCATCTTTCCTTTATGGGAAAAGCGAGGTTTGTAAATGAAACGCCAACACCGAGCGAGACCCAAATGCATCAGTGTAATAGGAACAGGGAAGCAGCGAGGCACAGTGTGATATTCTGAGCCACTCGAAGGATGAGTCATCAGCAGGGTGGGCTCGCACAGCTCCAGCCAGAAACACAGCGGCAACACACCCAGCTCCATCCTGGCTCCAGGGAAAAACCGCTCGGCCTCAGCACGGCCGCCTCGACAGCGAAGGATAAGACCCCCGCTGGACCAGATGTCAGAGAGGCTTTTGCCTAGACTTATCAAGTGGAAACATACCCTAACAGCAGCTATCTCCTAAATCCATGTTCTAACACTTAATTAATGCAGTAAAGCCCGTTCATGATTAGCCCTAAGCTGGATTGTGCTTGGGATTGCTTCTGAAACTTATTGCTACGGACGGGCAAATTCTTTCTCCTCCTGCTGAGCTTGGGTATCAGCAGGTGGGAGCACACAGGCCTGTGAGAGCATTTGCAGGCAGCTGGAATATTTTCCAGCGCCCCTGTGTGCAAGGACAGAGGCTGCCATCTACCAACAGTCACGGGGTGATGCATCGTGTTGCCTAAGCCAAACTTTTTGCTTTGGTTTAGATAAAAATGTTATGCCTCTGTTGTTTTTTCCCATTTCCCAGCTTCTTTTTCAGTTATCTATTTCCTCAAGGTAGAGGACAAATGATTGTTACAGCATTTGAGCACGTGGAATAACATAACCTTCTAGAAGACGAGCAGATTTTATTTTTAAACAAGCAGGCATACGTATCCCATAATCTGCACAGAATTGGCCACTCAGTGATCCACAGCTGCAGTTCTGATTTGGGATTTGCTTACCCCTTATATGAAGTTTAGAGAGAAACAACTACTTTCCCCCTAAAATTTTGTTGTGTGAACGATGATCTTTCAAAGAGCTCTTTAAAATCTAACTTACAAAACAATAACGGAAACAATACACAAGCATTATCTAGTATTTTTTATCAACTGATCTTGTAGTTTTTCACCAGAAAGACATAGTTAACTATTCCCAGATAGGAAAAGAGAGGCACAAAATGGGAGCAGGCAAATAAGTATCCTAACCAAAAAGAACATTCACATCTCCCATTATCTATTCAAGTGCCTAATGGACTACTCTGCATCTTGTATAGCAACTTCTCCTCAAAGCCTGCTGAAATCCCTGGAGAGTCTTTCACCAACTTCACGTGTCAATTTGAATCACACTTAAAGACAGCAAAGGAGACAACCAACAAGATTTGGAAAAAGATGTGCATATGGTATCACTCGGTAGATTGATTTTGAGCTTGGGATGTCAATAAGAACCAGGTTTAGCAGCTGCTTGAGCCTGTGCCAGAGCCAGAGCTGAGGAAAAGGAACAACTTTTATCAGGTGCACTTTGGCAGTGACAAGGTCCATCTTCAGATTGCAGGGATGCTCATTTTGCAAAAGCAAAATGGAAAATACTCCCCATTAAATGGCAGTAGTTCAAGCTTTTGCACAGAAGTCTGAGAAGCTGAATTACGCTGCCTCCATAACAAAGCATGAGCAATATTTCCCCACCTGCAAGCCAAGAGTTTAAACAAAGAGTTTTAAACAAATATAACTTTCCGGGGATGGGGGGAAGGGCATTGGTTTAGAATACATCAAGTTAGAAGTTTTGTGAATAATAATCTGTGGATGAGACAGCCATCCTCAGGAAATCCGAGCAACAGCCCTTTTCTGGCTGCCACAATGCAGCTCCCACACCTG